TCCTCTTCAGGGAACAAATCTGCTGTGATTAACGTTTTGGATTAAAACTGTATTATTTCTGCTTGGTATTTATTACAATAACAAACACTATTAGTGAAGTAAAATAACGTTCAGCTGTTCATACTTCATATATAACATTATACAGCATTTTTTGTCCCCACTATACTTATCAAATATTCATGAGAAAACTTGAAAATGCATTAGTATAATGTTTTAAAATAAGATTTAAAATAAATATATGTGTCAGAGGAAGAAATTAAATGTTTTTCAGTTCTAATTGCACCAAAGAGTAATATTAGCATTTACTGGAGGGAGAGAGAGAAGGAAAGAAACCAGGTTCTCTGCTGGCTCACTCCTGCTCTGTTTTGTGCAGCACACCATAAGGGCTCCAAAGGCAGGAGTGATAAAAAAGGTTAATTTCCAAGAAGGTGCCCAGGCCAACAGACACGCTCCACTGGTGGAATTCATGGAGGAAGAAGCCAAGTCAAAATAAAATTCAAGGAAGGTGCATTTTATATTTTTATACTTTGCTGATTTTCTCCCAGGAGAAGACTTCTTCATATTTTCAGCAAACTGTTTTGTATGACAGACTGGGGAATTGCTTTCCTCTGCACTTCCTGCATAGTCTGACTGTAAATTATGCTGACTTCAGTGGAATTTGGGTATCACTGTCCTGTAATCGTATTTATAACCTGTGGACCTATGTGATTGCTGTTCAGTGGTTGTGTTTGCCTGTGGAAAGACATTGGACTGGAAACAGATGTGGAACTCTCAAAGGATGGGAGAGGTTAGTAAGGACTGTAAGGGACAGACAGGTTGGGTTCTTCATTCACAGCTGCCTTTTTCCCTGAGATATGACAAGACTGATTTGAAGGAAATCTTAAGGAAGACAATTGTTTATGAATTCATTTTCTGGCAAAATCCCTGATTGTGGCTTATGTTTTTGCCTTAACAGGGAGTTCAGGATTGTTCCTTAGCCCTGAATCCCTCTCAGTCATTTCTGTTACATCTTTTCTTCCCTTTTACCTCAATGAGTAGTGAAAATTTGCATTTCAAGAATTATTTTAATATACCTCAAAACATCTGATGCAAAGCATTTTTCAAATACATTTGCTACACTTACGGAAGTTGGAACATAACTGGTTTCTAAAAATATCATTTGAACTTTAAATATGAAGTAATAATATAAAGATAAGGTTATTTATTACTTGGAAAATGTGCCAAAATAAAATACTTTAAAATCCTCATTGCTGTTCCCATATTGTTCATGTTCTTCTGTGTTACTTATTGGCTGGAGTGAAGTACACCAAAGTCTTTGTAGCAACATGAAATATTACTATGAATAACAGGTTTTTTTTTTTGTATCTGCAGGGTTTCAGAAGGGAAAATTGTTAGGTTTTTTGATATGCAAAGAAAATACTCAGACTAAGCATATACTGATCATTTGCCATAGATTTATTTTAACTTATTTTAAAAGCCCCTCAGAGAAACAGGAAAAGGGAAAGAAAAATATGTTTTAATTGTTGCAAACTTTGAATATATTTTTACCTTTCAGTTAATGTGATGTTCTGGTTGTCATGTGAAATTTTGATATGCCAATTTAATTCAATAATATGGTCTATACTGCAGAAAGGAACACGTCAGATGCTGCAGTGATCCCTAACTTGTAGTCAGATCTGTGCAAGTGGATCCTTACACTTACCTGAAATCTCATTTCTGAATCAATATACAGCATCGTGGGGAGTTCTGTGATCTGCCTCTGTAATTGTGCAGCCTTGCCTGCAGTGCAGAAAAACATTATAAAAAACAATTGGCTCTGGATGGACTGTATATTAAAAGCATACTGTAATACTTTTCAATTTTCCTTGTAATCCTATGGCCACCTAACAAAAAATTACAGTGATCATCTTGCAGAGTATTGCCACAGTGATTTTTATTTACTGCCAAATAAAAATTAAGCTTAACTTTGAATGTTTGTTTTCATTTTTCTCCATTTTGTTCTTTCCTTGGTTGCTTCTGTCCATGCATTAGATTAGAGGGTTTTAAGCAGCTGTTTCTGTATCATCTGATGATGATGACCACAATCTGCAGATCACATTTGGCAGGCAGAAATCCAGACAGTTGTGATGGGCTTCACTGCAGGTAAGGTTAGTGGCTTGTTTTATCTAGAAATTAGATCTGCATTGTAGAAACATGAGCCCCTGCAGCCTGGCATTTATTTTTTTGCTCTCTACACGACAGGGCTGTGTTTCTAGACCTACTTTCCTACACTGAATCTTTACCAAAGCACTGAAACTCCCAGCATGAGGTTCTGTGCCCGCTGAGGCTGCACAGCTTGTGCAGCCAGTGAGACAAGAACATGTTCCCTGGAAGCTGACAAAATGTCCTCCCTGAGGAATGAAGGGAGACAAATAATGTTACCAGTTTTCATTTTCCCCTCACTTCTTTCTTCTACTGAGATTGATTTTGTGTTAATTTCAGAATAAAATCTCTTGCAGAAGTCACTGTCACAGTTTGCACACCTTAGACGTTTTACTGCAATGTGATCTAATTGAACTTAGAGATGCTCAAAGAATTAGTAAAGTCAGGTTTTTCTTGTAACACAGAATGTACAAAGTATTTAGAAATCCTTGGTTTATTACAAATAAATTCTTGTGTAATAAATGTGATCTGCTAAGGAGCACATGATAGTAACAGCTGGAACTAAACTGTTGTCTCTAGAACATTTAGTGGTAGATTAAGAAAGAAGAAAATGTAATTGTTTAAAATCAGTATTTTAGTATTCAAGCTAAAAGGATCATCTCTGCCTGGGATTTGTTATCAATATACCTTTTCAAATCGTGCTGTACTGGATGTTCCAGTAACAATGAATCTGAACTGATTCTACTTGTAATGATTTTCTCTTGCTGCCGTGGGAGAGAGGGGGCCGGGTCACAGAACGTGTAGTTCAGCCACAGTCGACTGTCCCCAGGAAAGAAGGAGGGTGTTGGTGTTCAGACTCAGCTTCTGTGAGACAGGATCAGGGAGTAACACTCTCCATGAGCCTACTGGTCAGCCTGTGGGATCAGGTGTGGGTCATCCTGCCCAGCAGTGTGAATGTTACCAGATCAAAATGAGAGCCTTGAGGAAACTTTAGTTATCCCCTGTGGGATCTCCATCTCTCCTGCACTCTCCAGTGGCTGCCAATTACTGTGGCTTATACCCAGGGAAGATCTGTGCTTTGGAGCCTGAGTCCATGCTGGATCAGTGATTAGGACACAGGGAGTGGAAAGCAGGAGGGCAGAACTGTGTTCTTATTCCAGCCACTGATTCATGGTGACTTCAGGTAGGTCACTTGGTGGATACTTGCCTGTGTTTCCTCTTATTGAATGAGGTTGATGGCAACCAAAACACTGCAAAATTTGTGAACACAGTGATTTATAAATAGTTTTCTATGCTTATTGGTAAAGCTGTAATTCCAGATGTAGGCAATTTGTACTTGTAGGTTGTTTTTTAACCTTTTATACAGAAAATATTGATACTAAAGTTATAAAGTTTCCAACGTGTGTTGTATCCGTTGTTGTAGTGGTTGTACTTGGTCCTTACCAGAAAATCCTTGCTTCTGTCTTCATGCTGATTAAAAAACGAATATTTGAGAGTTTTTTGGCAGGACCTTTAAAATTTAGTCAATGGTAGGGAAAAACATTGGTTGATCTGGGAATACAACTCTTTTACTAAAGCAAGTCAAACCATTTTAAAGGACCTGTCAACCAGTGCACTAACACAGGTATATGAATTTCTGTTGATAATCCTTCTTTTCAGTCAGATCAGGAGTTATTTGTCTGTGTTCTGTCTGTTCTGTTTGTAAAAAGCTGCACAGTGCTGTGTAGAATGTGTTTCCTAGACAATGACAATGGATTAAGATCTGAACTTCCAGCTTTTACACGAGGTATATTCTCAACAGATACTTTAACTGCTTGTACAGTTGTGTTCCAGATATAGATTTTTACACATGAATGCTTCACAGGTAAATATCACTTAGTACCTCTGTGATACTGGGGCAAAGCCTTCTGCTTAAGAAATCCATTTGGAAAATAACCCACACAAATGATGCTGTATTAAAAAAAAAAAAAAAAATTGCAGAAATTGATAATTGAAACCTTGGCATTTGTTTTTATCTGGAACTGATTGTATTTTTGGAGAGGAGAAGGCCTGGATTCTGAAAGCAAATTTTTGAGACATTTTATGTTATCTTGAAACCTGTTGATTATACAATGAATCCATGTTAAAATAAACACGGATGTTGTGGTTGAATATCCGTATTTTTTGTTCTAGGAGTAATAAGCAAGTAAAACATGTCTGGAGTCGGGCTTTAAAATTGTGATAGCTGGATTTTAGCTTTCGTCTGTGTCCTGGTTTCAGCTGGGAGTTACCTTTCTTCCTGGTCACTGGTACAGTGCTGTGTCCTGAATTCAGTGTGAGATGATGTTGGTAACAAAGTGCTGGTTTGGTTGTTGCTGAGCAGTGCTTAGTCTAAGGAAAGGACTTCTCAGTTTCCCACGCTCTGCCAGCGAGCAGGTGTACGAGGAGCTGGGAGGGAGCACAGCCAGGATAGCTGACCCAAAGTAACCAAAGGGACATTCCATACCACAGAACACCATGCCCAGTGTATAACTGGGAGAAGTTGTCCAGGAGCCACTGATTGCTGCTTGGGGACGGGCTGGGCATCGGGCAGTGGGGACTGAACACCTGTACTGAGCATCACTTGTCTGTCTTGGGTTTTATTTCTTGCTCTCTTTTTGTTGTCTTGCTTTTCATTACAGCTGTAGTATCATTTATTCAGTTTTATGTCAATTATTAAACTGCTCTCTTTCCCACTCTCCCCTCCCAGCAGGAGATGGTGGGTGGTGAACAAGCAGTTGTGTGGTACAGAGGAGACCTTGTTGCTGGCTGGAGTTAAACTATGACAGTCCTTTTTGGCACCCAGTGTGGGGCACAAAGGGTGGAGATAACAACAGATCTGACCACAGCGTGTAAAACGAATTTATTGCAAGCATTCACGATATTAATTTAATAGTCACTGGTCACAGCGTTGATTTGTTTGTTCTCAGAGTTGTTGCTCTTGTTCTCAGGTTTGCGTCATTGCCTTACTTGGTGTGTGTGTTCCCTTTGTGCTGTTTATCACCTCTGGGGGCTGGGCTAAGGTTGATTCTGTTGTACTTTGTAACACTGGCTTAGGATATGATAGAATTGCTGGCTGTGAATCAGAGAGGAACAATCATAATGGAGGTTCTTCCAGGAAAGTTGCTGCTCCAGTGTCCAGTGGGCAGTTCCAAGACAGAGAGGAAGGGCTAATCTTACTCCTGATCCTATGGAAAGAAATTCTTATCCGTTTTTACAAGAAGTAGAGAATCCTAAAACCAGTACTGGAGGGGCCCTGCCTCCAGCCAGGTGGAGGGGAGGGACAGCTGAGTTTCCAGGACTGTGTGGATCAGATGTCCTGGCAGACAGACCCACAGGAGTGTAAGGCTCTAGGAGATACCTGTGCACAGTGTACCCCAATGCCATCAAGCTATAAAGCAGCAGAACCCTTTCCTTCTTTCCCCATCCCAGTGGATGTGAGTGAACAGCTACGTGGGACTCAGCTGCTGGCTTGGGTTCAGCTTGGGTTAAACTGTGACAGGCCATTTTCCATATAAATAGTTCTGGTGCCAAAAAGTTGCTCTTGAAATGGTAATTGGTCTCTGTGAATGGCAGCCAACCTACTCACTTAAAAAAGCAGGAAAACCGAGAGTTGTTAAGTACTGGAGTCAGCAAAGCTCCAAAGAGTGTTTGGTGAAAAAGACTGCTGCTGAGAGCTGCATCCCTCCTTTGCCCCTCTGAAAAGGGAAGTAGTATCTTCTTCTGGGCTGTCCTGTCCTGCCTTGGCACGCACAGGAACACTCAGTGATCAGTACTGATGTGGTAACTCCAGCCAAAGACCCCAGGCCTGCCCAGTGTCCCGTTCAGCATCCCAGAAACGTAAGACAGAGCTCCTGCTCTACGGAGTTGTAAAATGAGATAAAACATGAACTAGAATGAACCAATTTAAACCCAGAACTGTTATATACAGATGTGGTTAACGCATGTTTTCCTTGAAGTCTGCCCCACTGTATTGATGCTGATAGCCAGGCGTGGGCGTGGAGGTTACAATTTGCTGCTTAGGTAGGAGAACTGGCTGGGTTGTGTAAACATGATCCACAGAACCAGTTTGCTGGACAGTGTGAGGACTGGAAAAGGATAAATGCCTGTGACATGTATGACAGGAGTCATCTTACTACCCTTACTTTGTACGTCTGCATTACTCCTGCAGTCTGCCTACCTCCAAGGCAAAAGGCTCTGCCTCCCATATATGCAACTGAAATTACTGTTTTGTATATTAATATCAAAATATGTGCTCTGAATTAGGATGGCTTATTTTTACTAAATAGAACAACTAAAGATGGCACATACAGAAAATCACTGGGATAGGGAAATAAGTGTGTCTCAGTCTCCTCAATTCTTGGAATCAGCCGTAATTCTTTGTATTGAGAAGGGAAAGCTGCTTACAGTTAAAAGGTGTAGGTTTTAATCTTGAAGCTGTGATGGCACTGTCTAGATTACAGCTTGGGAAATTTCAAACCAATCTGGCTACAAAGATCATACCTTGTTTTACAGAAGTTCTGAACTAAAAAATGACTGTATCTCATAAAAATCAACCTGCTATCTTACTGCTCTTCATTTCTTAATCCATATTACTTGAAATGCCTAGATTTTAGTGTATATATCTCAGTACTAGTGAGTTAAAAACCAAAACCCAGAAGTCCTGCATCCTGTTGTCTTTTAGGTGTCCTGGAAAGTTTCAGTTTATTCGTGCCTGCCAGGGTATGGTTGAGTACATGAGAAATGTTCAGACTTTCTCAGGCTCACTGACCTGACTTTGCTTCCTTTGTCACAATAATCTGTCCTGCTCCCTCCCAGAGACATTGTCATGTGGAACGTGGCTCCTAACAGTGCCTTGGACTGGGTGTAGTAACTTGTTAACCTCTTGTGTAATGCAGGAAGGATGAAAAACTTAATAGAAGGTAAACACCCTTCCTTGCAACCTATTAACGATCTTCTGATATTGGTGGTGTCACTTTGCAGCTTGAATTGCTCAGACACCTACAGGAGGACTCACACTGTTTACTTCCTCTGTGCTTCTTTCAGAGCATTAAAAAAAACATTATGGGCTGATAAGGACATTCCATCTGTACCAGCTGAACAGCAAAACAGAGCAGACCATTGGGTCTGTACCTGTGGATACCAAGGAACTTCCTGCCTTCAGAGTGGCGTTAAATCTCCTTGTGCAGGACAGTTCATGGGACTTTGTTCTCTTGGTTAAACATGTGGTCAGTTTGCAGGCAAAGGGCCTCAGTCATAACCCCTGTATGACTGTCCCATCAGTGTAAGATGAATTCATGGTTTCACTTTTTAGTGCATAAAGTAGCTGACAAAAAGATGTGGGGATTAGAAAGACGTTTCCAGGCCAAGCTGTCCCAGGTTATTGTTACACGTCATAAAGCTTTGGGCCTCTTCCTCAGAAAGTGCTGTAAGTGGAAGTTCTCAGCAAGGGGATTACACTAAATAGATTCTGCACTGACTGAACATGAGACTCGCTCCTCTGTCTGGGTAAAGCAGCTCAATGTTATATTCAGTTATGCATTTGACACACTTGGATTTAAAAAAAGATCATTGCCTGGTTCTCCCAGGGTTCACATGAGATGATAAAACATCATTGGCCCACACAGCAAAACAAGGCAAGCGTGTCAGCCTTAAAATAAATTAAACAAGTCATCATGTTAGTGCGATCACAGTGATTATGCTGCCTGCAGATTGCACAATGAATATTTCCTTCTACTCTGTATCACGGGGTGCACGTGTCATGTTTACAAGCAGCAGAGCTGGGTATCCCTGCTCTGACCTGGGGTTCATCCTGCAGGGAGCTGTACAAAAGGGAACCCGGAACAAGCCCCATTCAGACACCCTACTCTGAATATGAACAAATACACTTTTTGGTGGCCTCTCAGGTACAGTTTCACCTTATAAGTGAACTTAAACAGGAAAAAAAAAATCACAAACCCAGCAGCATGCACACTGGGAATAGCATCAATCTGCATTTCACATATTTTTTTATATTTTACCTTCATATCACTGAATCATCTTTTTATCTGCCCTGCTTAGAAGCAGTTAAGTGTGATTTTCCATACCTTATACAATGGGAATTCATAATATAGAGGGATTTAGTAAGTTAGGGAGATCAAAGCTCAAGTCAGTCAAAAAACTAAAGACAAACACAGTGTGCCCCCAGACACTCCAAAAACCCACCAAGAGACCCTGCAATACAGAAAAGCAGCAAGGCTCGCAGGCATTAGGGAAAAACAAGCCACTTCAAAATCCTGTCTCTGTCCTGAGGAATCCACTGCAATCACAGCTCATCTCTCAGATTATTGTTACATGTCGCAATAATTTTCCAGAGGGTCCAAACTGTGTCTCCAGGATCGCAGGAGGGCTGTCACAGTGATGGCAATTAGGTAACCTGATGAGATAGATTTTCAGGTCTGGCTTTGCCTCCCCTGCCGTGGTTCACATGGACTGTGCTGGTGTGCAAGTGTTTGTGGCTGTCCACACTGGCCACTCTGCAACCATCCTCAGTTTCAAAGACATGCTTTTTGGGAGGGTTCAAGGTGTGCAGGCAACTTCAATCTCTCAGGATAGCTGCATTCACACATATTTCCATATGTTTAATATCCAGACAATTTTCCTGTTTCAGAACACTAGCACACCTGGACACTTCACAGGACAGGCCTGATTTTCCTCAGCAAACACAATTTAACTCCTTACACTCCATCTACGCTTTTCTTTGATTTTTAACAAAGTAAGCAAGTAGCAAATTAGACCCTTTTCTATAAAAATACACATATAACCCCTGAACATCCATGATGAGGAATGTCTTTTTGAAGTCTTAATTTCCTTCTAGTGTGTGCAGTCATACCAGTCATGTAACATAAATACAGAAGCTTACTTTAACAGCTCCCAGCTCAGCAGGAGATGAGAGAACAAGAACAGATCTCAAACCTTTGTCCTTCACAACAGCAGTTTGCCACTGCTGTGAGTTTTATCAGCAAATACTCTGCTTCCCCAAACTTCTTCAGCTGCCAAAAGCCTGCGGTAGGTAGAGTAAGCTTTCCTGGGAAACAAACAACTGTCTGGGATGCTGGTACAAACTGTGATTTAACCACTCTTTTGATAGTAGATCTGAAGGGCTGCATCTGTCCACAGCGCCCAAAGGGGATGCCAGCCGGGAGCAGGGGGATCAGGGAAATCTTACAGGTGTGGAGGCGCTCCCGTACGAAGATGCCCGTAGAGCTGCTGCTCCGAGGCCTCGCCGCCCCCAGCTCTCCGTGGCTGCTCCGCAAACGTCCCTCAGCCTCCCTCGCGAATCCATCCTGGAAAGCCAGAGGGATTTTCACATCTCGCCCCGTTTCCAAGCCCGGGCAAACCCAGGAACGGCGGCCACCACCCCGGAGCCCGGGGGGGGCCGGCACAGGCGCTCGCACCTGACCCTTAACTTTTGATATGGAAGAAATGAGAACGTACAAGGAGCTTTCCCGACGGAACACCCGGTGCCGGTGTCAGGAGCCGCTGGGACCTCCCACCCCCGACATCCCCAGGCGGCTGGGGGGGACTCTCCCCTTCCCTTCCCTCCCCTCCCCTCCTTGGGCCGAGCCCCCCGTGCGGTGCCCGCCCCTCACCCCGGAGCGCGCTCCGTCCGCGGGCACAGCGGGACGGGCCGGCCCCCGCCGGGGCTCCCGGCCCGCACTGCGCATGAGCGGGGGAAGGCGGCGGAAGGGCCCGTGAGGAGCCGGAGCCGCCGCCGCGGGAGGAAGCGCCGCTGCCGCCGCCGCCGCCGCCCTCAGAGTCCGCCCGAGCCGGGAGGGGAGAGGCCCGCACAGCCCCCACCATGGTGAGCACCCGCCCGGGGCCGCTCCCGGCCCGGCGCGGCGCCTCGGGGCCGGCCGGGGGCAGCGGGGCCTGCTCGTGGCGCGCTGGGTGCCCGGGAGCGGCCGAGGCGCCGGTGCGGGGGCTCCGCAGCCCGGCACGATGTGCCGGGTCGGGGTTCCGCGTCCTCCCAACGGGCAGGGCCGGGAGGGCGCGCCGGGGCCGCGGGGAGCGCGGCGGGGGCTGCTCCGGGCAGGGGCCTGAGCGGGGGGCGCCGGGATCCCGCCCAGGCCTCCGGAGGCCCCGCACGGCGGGAGGGGCGCGCTGGCACCTGGTGCGAGGGCTCAGCCCCGCCGGGGGGACGGCGCGGGGCAGCCGAGCTGGGCAGCGCGGTGTGTGCCCCGAGCCTGCCCCGGGCCCGCGGCAGCGCTGGGAGGGAGAGCAGGGGGCTGCCCGGAGTCGGGGGCTGCCCGGGGTTTTTCCTCAGGATTTCGGGCGGCTCAGAGCCCATTAAGTGCTGTCGGTTCGCGGGGAAAACTTGGGCGTGTTGGTGCTCCTTAGGCTGGGGTTATGTTGGAGAATTTCTGGATAATTGTTCTTATGTTTTGGGGAGGCTCCTATTCATAGAAGCGTTGTAAAGGAGGACCTTGCAAAGGTCTTCCCAGTGAAGGTCTTGGGACCTTATAAAGGCCTCTCTTGCATTTTCTCTGTAATATTGCTTTCATTGTAGCTGAGGATTTGCCGTGGACTCCCAGATCAACTGACTTTCTCCGTTCCCTCTTCTGGAGGGATACCGCAGCAGTTGGAACAAAATTCGCTGTTTTTCTTTGCCTAAACAAAAGAAAAATACATTCTTTTGCTTTAAGTAAGAGGGGTCCTTGTTGGTTTCTTGCACAGTGTCTTATGCAGCAGATGGAACAAGTTTATAGTTGTACTTCTAAGCCTTCTCTGTATACAAACGTTGTACAACTTTAGCTGCACCTGTACAGTTTAAATCAGTACTTTTCTACAGCAGCAGTATTGTCTTAGGAAGGGTGTAGGAGGGAGTCTTAAGATCTACTGGTGTACACTTACTGGTATAAGGATATCTTACACCTGCTGTTAATGCTATTCTGTCAAGTTGTGTTAAAAACATATTAAAAAAATTACAGTGTCACCTTTAATTGATGGAGTTACGTTGGCATAAAAATTTGGTTAGCCAGCATTTAAATTAGTGGTGTGTAGACCTCTAATAAACTTGTCACTATGTTACTAGTGTAATTTTTAATTGAATATTTTGATGTAGATGTTCACTTGCGTTTTTTATGAGAACTTAAGAGTGGGTAAAGGTGTCTTATTGTAATTCTTCAGGTCTGGGACTGTCTCAAATAGCACACAGTAACATTAACACAACTCTTTATGAAGACTTTTTTCCATAAAAATCACCTAGAGCTGTCTCACAGTATATCTAGTGTAGGTATGCAAAGTAAATACACTGTTGATGTCTTGTACATGCATATTGTATTGGCTGGCTACGTGCTTAGAAATTTAAATTGAACAATGCTGTAGCAAGTGGCCAAGTTACAGAAATAGTGAGGGATGTTAATTCTGAGAATAGCTTTTTGTGAGAAACAGCAGAATCCTATCTCGTGCTTGGTCTTCTTGGAAACACCAAACTGAAGAACCAGCAGTTCTGTTCTGTGTAGCAGTTCTGTACTGATGGATTGGTATTCATCAGACTGGAGGGAGAAGGTGGATCCTCCAGTCATGGCCCCGAGCAGAGTTGTTCGGCCCTGTGCAAACAACTGTGTTCCAGGTTGTGCTTGTTGACTCCAACACCCAGGTGAAAGGATGACATAGACACTGAAGTGGAGCTAAATGACAGGCTACAGCTTGTAGAAGTAGTAAATACAGGATTGTTTCTAGTGCCTGGGCACAGGATTCTGTACCTCTACTTGTGGTATGTCAAAACCCTCTCCTTGGTGAGGGGAAAGGCAGGGAGACTTCTTCACAGAGATCCAAAGGTGTCCCATTTTCCTGCCCTTGTGCCCTACTGCTCTGGCTCGTCCTTCCAGTGGCTGTGCCTGGTTCCTGGGGCCAGGTAACTTGTCCAGCATAGTAAATGCTGTTCTGGTTTGGGGCCTGGCTCCTCCTTGCCTCTGCAGCACTGCCAGTTGGAGCACTGCTGGCCCTCACTTGGTCTCACCAGTGCCCAAATGGCCAGTGCCGTCAGGACTGAGGCTTCCTCCTCAGAACTGCCTGTGTGCGTATCTGGAAGGGACACCACACAGCCTGGTGGGCTCACTCTGGCCTTTTAGGGAACTTGCACAGAGTTTCTGTCTGGTGCTCAGGGACACCCTGGCAGTGTGGCTGGGACTGCTGAGGGCAATCTGCCTCTGTCACCCACTCTCTGGAGCTGGCTGAGCAGCTCCTGTGGAAGTGGTGTCCTTCACCTTCCCTGTTAGGGTGTTACTGCTTCACCTCATCATGAGGACACGTGCTGTGCCCACAAATCAAGGCAGAGCAGTAGGCTGGTCCATTTTACTCTAGACCATCTTCTCTGAGGAGAAGAGCTACTACCTGTGCTATTCTGAATAATTTAAGGAATTTAGGACTATGGGTGGTACCCCAGACAAGTTTGTGAGAATCCATATCTATATCCAGAGCTGAATGCTAACCTTGTCTCTGTGTACATTATCTATCATATTATCCAGTTTGTGTTCTCTGAAGAATATTTCTATGCTGATAAATACATAATTTCTTACTGTAAACCTCAGCTGACAGGAAGTTGTAAAATTCAGTATTGCAAGAATTCCATGTCTGATGACGCTGTCTCCTGTAATGTTATTGTACTTCATGACATTGTTATGCAGTGTTTAACTCAGCTGACTGTTCTGCAGGGCTATTTTCTGTGGTGCATATTCATGTCTGTAGCAGTTTGTTGATATTAAATATTTTTGGGTTTGGTGTCCTGTAGTAAAACTTGCAGATTCTTGGCATTGCACTTAGAGCAGTCGGAGTGCTAGACAAGATGGTGCATGATCTTGTTTCCTCTCTTAGCTTACCAGAGATCCCTTTGAACTAAAGCTGTAAAATCACTTTTAACTAGAGCCATGAAAAAATTATTCAGAAATATGAACTACTCTGAGAACAAGGTGTGAAATTCATTATGTAGCTCTTGATATTTTACTCATGTTTTATGGTGCCAATGCAAATAGATGGTATGAATGCAGCTTCTAAGGGCTGAATAGAGCTTGTGCCCCAGACCAGAGCTAAGAATGCTAAACAACTGACTGCTTTATTTTGTCCTTTTTTATTTGGAAAAGCCATGGGTTTTGGTGTTTCCTTCACTGTTCAGGTTAATGTGAATTACCATTACATCTTCTGCGTGGCTATATATTGACCTTCTGCCTGCATGCTGGTGCTAAAATGATTTTATCCACTGAAAGAACATTAGAAGGTGTAAAAAGGAACTTTCATTTTATGTCGCTTGTGATTTTTAACTTGGGTTTTGTATCTCAGCAGACTTTGTAAATGTTTAGGTTTTATTCTGTTCCACTGCAGACAAATGGATTTCCCATCAGTTTGAAACTGGAAGCTTAAAAATGTCCTGATTGTCTTACTTCTTAAAGAAACTGCTTTGGAAAATAAAATGTAGTTAGAGGACATGTTTGTTCTACATTGTGCAGAAACTACGGCTATCTACTTTAATTGTTTTGTCTTTAATTGGGATTTTTTTTTTTGGTAGTACACATGTGTGCCATCACAGTTGGTGGATTAAAATGCACTCCAGTGTATTCACAGATTTCTGTTGTGATTAGCTTTTGTTTTCTTATCAAACCAAAACGCTCCCTGTTTTGCCTTTTAGGCTTTAGCCGTGTATTTATGAGCACTAAACCGGGCTATTTGCAGGTGTGTTGTCGGGTCCTGTAACAGGCCCGAGGTGGAGCGATTCGGGCGCTGTGGGGGGCGTTCTCCTCACCATTAGTGCCGCATAAAGCCTCGACAGCGCTGGAGTCGTGTGAGGTTCTGCGATGCCGAGCCCGTGGTGCGCGGGCTGGAGTCACTCCGGGATTGACCTGACGTCAGTGGGTCCTTAGGAAGTGCAGGGATGCTTCCCGCAGCCAGAGCTCCGGCTGGAGTTTAAATGCAGGCAGTACAAAGGCCTAGACTTGGTGGAGGTTGATACTATTTTAGAAAAGGCTTTTACCTGTCACGTGCGTGAGAACTTAACAGGCTTTTCTTTGAGTCCTGCCTGAAACAAAAGCGCAGATGTCACATCGTTCAGATTCCCTGAGTTAGCAGTGAATAGCAGGAATGGGATCAGCTGTATCGATGCCTGGGAAGGGAAGGGTGGAAGGCACTCACTGGAGTGACTGTGTGAATGCCTTCTTTGGGGGCCGTGAGGAATTTGGGTCAGCAGAACTGATCGTGCACAGCCTGTCCGGGTGGTGCGTGTGACCTTAGAGCAAAGTCCAGGAGCAGGTTCTGGGCAGGGATTCCCAGCTCTCCAGCCCAGGCAGTGTGGGATGAAGGTCGTTGCTCTTTCCCATGGACATTATCCAGGAGAGTGGAGCCCTCGTTTGGATATCAGCTATCCAGAAAATGTTGTTGAGCAGTGTGCAGAGCTGATATTTGAATCTGAGCTGACTAAAAACTGAGTGTAAAGATACGGAAGAACAATGTTGTGGTCAGAGGTGGTAGATCAGTTCTAGCATTTCTTGTTCTGTAGACTGGGGAAAAAACTACTTCAGGAAATAAAATCCCAATTTTTTTTTTATTTTTTTTATTTTTTAAATTTGTCGTCTTTCACTGAAGTATCTGATCAAGGAGAAGCTATTGAATTAGAATATTCAAACTTGGTACTTTATGGTAAGGGGAAGATTTTAATTTTAAAATTGCTGTTGTAGAATCAGATGTTCATTAGAATTGGTGTAGTTTTATTAATCTGCATAATGCAGCTTCTCATTTGGAGAAGTTACTCTGTGTTTGAAAAGTAAGGTCACCTTCTCTCTCTTGTGACATCTGTGTTACAAAAGATAGCTTGGGTACCACACAGATTTGATCAAAGGCTTGGAAATCTGAGTTTTTCCTTTTACCCTTAACCCAAAGAGTAAGACTAGGAATTTGTTTTATTTGTTTTCCACTGGGTTTTATTTGTATATATTAGCAAGACGGATATCTGTTAAATAAAATTCTGTCTTTTCAGCTGGTGTTAAAGTTGAGATGTTTTAAGTGGATTGAGTTGCATTACAGTGCTTACAATTGCAGTGTAAGGTATTTGTTGCCTGATGACTGTAGGATTAAAGGTTATGGGGTGCTCTGGCTGCTTAAAACAATAACAGACTGTTAGCACTCGGCTTCTAGAAATAGTCCTAAAAGTGCAGAAGGTTTGGAACCTGTTCCTGCTTGAAGTGTGGGTTTTTAATGTGCTGAAGGAAGAGCTATAATGGGATAATAAAAACTCAGCAGTAATTCCACCTCTTGCTGTCCTGTAGTGGGCCTTGGAAGAGTGTCCAGTCACTGAGGATGTGGAGCTTTTGTGGAAACATTCGTCAAATACAGCAAAAGGGCTTTGGCACTTCTTTACTAAAAATAAACTCATATTTGACCAGTAAAAATATGATTATTCCAGAAAAAGATTATGGCTGAACAGTGTGATTTATTGCGTCTTAATATACTACCAAATGCTGTACTGGTTGGTGTAATTAGCTGCTTGACTCTTGGCACTTTTGATCTTTTGAAAAGGTTTTATGTTGTTATGATGAACTTAGGGAGCCCCAAGCACGGGAAAAGGTCATGTGCATATGTAGGATTTAAAGTTTATCATAAAAGGGATTTAAGCTGCAGTTTTTGGTAATAAATTGCATTCTCCTTTTGTGACAACATGCAAAACACACCACCTTTTGTGGTCCTGAGCATCCACAGTGAATCCCTTTCAAACCTTTTCCATGACTTTTAGTGGTATGTCACTGCTTTTAGAGTTCACCCTTGCCAGGAGCAGGGCAGAACAAAGTCTCTTGAGGCCTTACAGAATACTCACCATTAAAAGGTCTGTGCATACTTACCTGTGCATGTTAAAACGAAAACAAACAAAAACCTAATGATTAAAGGCACCAGCTTTGTAAAAAAAAAAAAAAAGTAAAAATTAAAGGGAAAAAAAAAGAAAATAAAAGCTAAGGTAATTAAGTGTGACTGCCCTGTAGTGCAGCTGAGCCTGGTGATGCAGCAGTCTGGCTCTGTGGAACCGATTACAGGAAGCTGATAATTGATAGAGAACATTAAATTCGGGATTGTTTCATCTTCATTTGGGATTTCATTCAAAGGTTTGTTTTCATAGTTCTGAGTTTACAATACATTTTTAAAAACTGCAACTAAAAACGCATTAGTCATTTCTGGAAGTCGTTCCACGTGGATTTGTCAGCGCAGTGATTTCTGGGGAGCTCTGAGCTCACTTTGCGAGGTGCTGAGTGTCTGTTGTGGAGCCAAGAGTGCACAGACAGGCAGCACTGGGGCTGCTCAGGAACTGCTCTCCTGGCCTGGCCTTTACCTGGAACCGCTCTGGAAAATCTGAGTTTCAGGAAAGTGTTTGTAGTAAAAGATCCAGCTTGAGAAGGTTGTTCAAGAGGCTGAATTAAAGCAGCAACACGTCGTAACTTTAAAAATGATGTAGCCTAACTAATATCACTGTGTTAAATCTGCAGCGTCAGCTAAAATTTTGGCTTCAGCAAAGTGCTGAAGATGGAGGGTGGGTTTGGTTTGGAGGGGCTTTTTTTTTTTTTTTTAAAGGGAACTTAAAGGGTATTGGTGTCTTTAATGTATTATGTGGGTATCAGTTTAAACCAAATGTGATGCTCTTGTATTTTTTTTTTTTAATGGTATAACCCTGAAGCTGGTAATTTCACTATTCTTACAAATAATAGTGTTCACACTCATTGTTATCAAGCCACAGAAAACTGTATCTGACTTTTAGGACAGATGAATTTGTGTTCTGAAGCATTAATTCTTTATTTTAATGATAATGTGCTTGGACACTAATTATCCTTTGCAATGAAGAGCTAGAGCTCATTCTGCTCCTAAACCATTCATTTTTTGGCTGAGGATAGTTGGTCATGTCTTGGGATTTTCTTTGTCCTTTTTCCCCATACTCCTTGAGAAGGAGCTATGGAAATTACATAATGAACAGAATATGCAAGGTTGGGTTAGAATACAAGGTAAACTGGAAATTAAAAATTTGTGCTGTGTAAGAAGTCCAACCCTGACTTAAAATGTTGTCAGAACTTCTATTTACCAAGCTGTAGTATTGGGAGTTTGCTTTGACTGTATTGAGTGAACTTCAGGACTGAATTAGGATGTAGCTCAGGGGCTGTGTGGTTGCTCTCTCCTGATCAGCACTTGGTTTTGTGTGACTCATACCCTTGAAATGCTGTGTGTGCTTCTCCTCATCAGAAACGTCCTTGGGAATCCCTCTCTGCCGATCAGTTGCTGGCAGAGTTCTGTGCTGGAGCAGAGGGATGGATGTCTCTGGGTCTGGGCAGGAGGCCTGGAATTCCAGAGCTCTCACCTTGGCTACTCAGCTCCTCCACCCGCCCGCCTGCGGCACAGTTACCTGCCCTGTTTTTTTGTTTTTTTTTTTAGCTTCAGTTGCTGCACCTGTGAAATGGAGACAATGCCTCCTCACAGGAATGTTTTGGAAATTATGTAGGTGGAGTTGAGGACTTTAAACGTGAAAAATCTCTTAAAAAAAAAAAAAGAAAAAAAAGTCTTTAGGGTATTTCGGTGTGTAGCTCCCTGAAATGGATGGCCCAGCCTAGTCCCGTGTTGCCATCAAGAGGCACTTCAGGAGATCTGTGCCAGGTGTGGCCCTGGTCCTGCTGGGAGCAAATGGACATCAGTCTCCTGCTCAGTGATGGTGAACTGTTCAACAGCCTGCTCTGCCCCAGCCTTGGAGCCAGTTAATCAGATATTTTGATATCCTGATTGCTTGGGAAAATTATAGAAGTCCTGATTTAAAAAACATGGGACTGTTTTTTCATTTATTTGCTTTTTTCTTGCAGTAAATATTTCTATTTACAGTATTGTCTGTTTTCACTAGAACAAGTTGAAATCATCACAGAAGGATAAAGTGCGTCAGTTTATGGTCTTCACACAATCCAGTGAAAAGACAGCAGTGAGTTGTCTCTCTCAGAATGACTGGAAGTTAGATGTTGCAACAGACAACTTTTTCCAAAATCCTGAACTTTATATACGAGAGAGTGTTAAAGGATCGTTGGACAGAAAGAAGTTAGAACAACTATATAACAGATACAAAGGTGAGTACCCTGAATTTTAAGGCTTATTTCCTTCTTGTATGTCTGTAGTAATTACAGTGGGTTAGTGCTGCTGTGCTCCTGTGCTGGGAAATCTTAACCGACCCTTTCAGCTTTGTTTTTCTATTACTGATAATGCAAGTTTTAAGGGGAATATGTGTAGGCTTCTGCTTCACAGGGATTACATGCAGGTGCTTTATGTGCTCCAAGTGTAAGTACATTTACACAAGATGAGGGTCTGGAACTGGAGTTGTCTGTGTAGTGAGAAATTGTAGTGGTTAATGAGGATTTCACGTGATTCTTTTGGGGAAATCACATCACTCAGGACTTGATCCTGACAAAATGAAGGGTGGCATACCAGGGATGGGGTTCTACCTTAATTTTTATTCACCTTGTGCTTATTATCAGATAATTACAAAGAGAGTGTAACAGAAAACAAAACCTCTTTATCTGTTACATGGCCAGTGTTGAACCATTGATTCTGTCCCACAAATAGTACAGTGGATTCAGTGCAGTAGGACAAATCCTGTGTTTTAGCACTTGGAAGAAATCTGAGTGCTGTGTTTTCTGTCAGTTTTCATATGTGTGCATAATCCAAATACCATTTTCCTGAAGTCTTTGTTGGCTTGCATTAGTAGATCTTTGTTAGTGCAGTTGAAATATGAGCATCTCACTTCCAGACCAGATGTTGATTCCTTCGTGGAAAGAGGAGTGTGACTGGCTGACTTGGAATCATCGGTAACGGGGCAGCGTAACTTCCCCTTGGAGGTTACCCTGTCCAATCTCCTGCATGCTGGTGGTGCCAGGAAAAGCATAAAACTACAGTTTGGGGTAGTGGTTGATGGGCAGATTTGGGTATTAGTACAGCTTGCTAAGGGACACTGCACAACTGCTAATAATGGAACACAGATCATCAGCCTTACCAGAGATGCCAATAATTGAGTGTCCTGCGGGGAGAGAACCACTGTGCTCTGTGTGGAATGAGTCAGAATATCATGCATAGTATTAGGCAGAAAACAAATGTTTGTGGTGCTTTTTTTGTCTCTCAGTGAAAATAACATGAGCTTCATTGTATGGGAGTCTTTGTTGCAGTAATCGCCTCAATTGTTAAAGCTTAACCATTGAGAACACTAATTTAATTTTGTTTTTGAAATACTCGCTTACAAAGGCTGATCCCCAAAATGGCTTCTTGAAAACGTTTCCTTATCTGAAATGTACTTGAGCAAATTGGCTTTTTCAAATACCTGTTTTTTTTCTTGATACTTACTTTTATGTCCCAAAGATCCTCAAGATGAAAATAAAATTGGTATAGATGGTATACAGCAGTTCTGTGACGATCTAGCTCTTGACCCAGCCAGCATTACTGTTCTCATCATTGCATGGAAATTCCGAGCTGCAACGCAGTGCGAGTTCTCAAGCTGGAATTCATGGATGGAATGACTGAACTGGGGTAAGTGTTCAGTAAGTGTTAGATGAGGTGATCCAGGGTCCTGTTTTGGGGAATTCTCAGTCACGCTGCCCTCTCAGAGACTTTTGAGAGTCCAGCATCACTTGTCTGCCTCTCTAAAAATGCATCTGCTGTGCTGTGTGCTGGATCCGTGGGGAAAATGGGAGGGAGCTTTGAGTGCCCCTTGCCCTGGTTGTGTGAGCATTCCGGGCGGTTGGAGCTGCTCAGGGAGGTAAAGCAGGGATGTTGGTTTGCAGTCAGGCATACCTGGGTTTTCTCTTTATCACATTTTTCTAAAAATCATGTGGATTATAGGATGTGATGTATCAGGTAGTGTGTGCAGATGCAACGTGAAGAAATAACAACAAAGAAATGAAATATCGCTGCGTGGGTGCAGGCTCATTAAAGGCATCCTGAGTTTTGTTTTGATAATTGTATTCCACAAACAGTTTGTAGATTTTTGTTTATAAGTCATGTTTTTATGGTAAAATGAGTAATTCATGAATAAACGTGCTTCTTAAACTGCAGATGTGACAGCATAGAAAAACTGAAGGCCCAGATTCCTAAAATGGAACAAGAATTAAAAGAGCCAGGAAGATTTAAGGATTTTTATCAGTTTACTTTCAACTTTGCAAAGAACCCAGGACAGAAAGGTTTAGGTACGTATTCTTAATCATAAACATTTGTTCATAAATATAGAAAATGACTGATTAGAGCAGGAAGTGAATGTATTATTGTGATCCAGTGAGTCTGAAAGGTAATCACCCCTGGGATAAAATACATCTCTGTATTGTGAAAGATAGGTGTCAGTTTAAGGTGTTCAAATCAATAGAAACGTTTGCATCATTAATAAAGGCTACACAATTTTATGAGAGAGGGTTTATTTTTTCACTCTGTGTGTGCAGTTCTCAGTGAGCACAAGGGATTATGGTCTTACATTAAAGACATAATTGCACAACTTAGAATTTGCATCACTGAACAGATTAATTGAATTTTTACTTTTAGGATAAGTTGAAGCTGTAAAACCTATTTAAGCACACTTGTGCAGTCTCTTGCAACACCAGAAATGCTTGCAAGGGTCTTGGCAAAATAGAATTGGAATAGTACAAATGGATTACTGGATCCTGGGCCTGATACCTCTTGTGTGTTGGTAATAGGTGTCTACTTAGAGCTTTTTTCTCTCCCTTCACTTCACTGAATCCTTTCTTCATTATTTCAGGGCTCATATGCTGACTGTTTTTTTGGTTAGTGTAACAGGTGAAGTGGAAGAGTCACTTATTAAAAATCATTTCAGAACACTACAGTTCAGATTAATTGAAAAACTGGAGCTCTGTCTACTCAAAAATGAGGGAACAAAAATTTCTTTCGAGCAGTAATGTTAAAAAGCCAGAATGCACATTAATTTATATACAGTGTAATTGAGGTATCAGCCATAAACTAGCATTTCATGATGCTGTAGCTGTTAACTTCTTAACTGCTCTACTTTTGAGAAAAAATAAAACCCTGAAGGATGGGTAGTTTCTTCCTTGGCAACCTGTGAGTTTTCCTCAGTAAAGAAAATGCCCTAAAACTGCCACAGAAAACTACCATGGCTTTGTACTCCCAGACTGGGTAAAGATGAGCCTTCTGCTTTAGTTTTATTGGCTTTTATAGATGGACCAACTTTTGGCCTAAAATAAGTAAATAAGCAAAAACTCTGTGTCTTGGTTTCAACTGTGTCATTGTTTAACATCTTTCTGTACCTTGTTTTTTGTTTTCAATTGGATTGTGAATTTCATTGTCCTTGAAGAAGCTTAAGAGCACTGTGAAGGAGTAGGAAAATACTTGTGCATGCTTGTAGTCAGGTCTGAATCATGCAAGGAGATGAATGGGCTGATTCTTATGTCTCATTAATTTTTTTAGGCTGCTACAACACGGAAAATGTGGGAAGGTAGAAGTTAGAATGTGGAAAGTGTCAGTGTAGAGTTTGTCCTGCAGTGTGAATGGTTGCAGGGTTTTGTTCTTCGATTATTTTTCTTTATGGTTGCCATTGTAACATTTGTATGTTGTTTTCCATCTTCAAACAGCTTTACACAACCAAGAGCATTTTGTAGAATCTGTGTAAGGTGGTAAAAATGAACAAATTGCAATGATACCATAATTACATGACCCTTTTTACTTAGTTCTCTCAAAGCTTCAGACTAACAGAACTCTTTGATTTAGTACTTACCTTTTATTTTCTTTTCCATATTTCTAAGGTGTAAGGAAGACTTGCATTCGTTTTCTGAATCCCTCCCAAGTCCCGTATAGAAACGAATCTGTTGAGTGTCCCAGATGGAACAGACTTCCATAAAAATGACTTACCAGGAAAACTTAATTCCCTTGCTTTATTTCTCATTCATCATAAAGCTTCTTTGTGCAGGTTAAGCTCTTAACAGTGACAAAGTGTAGTTTTCTCAGATCCATGTAGCACATACAGAGTATAAGGTGGGTTTTCTGATTGCTTTTGTTTTCAAGTCTGGGTCTGGAAGTGATGTAGAATTGAGCTTAAAATCTGGATGCTTATTACCAACCCTTTTGGTGCTCATAAATACACAATTCTAGGCATGAATTTACAACAGGGCAGGGTAATTCTGGAAACCCTGAAGGAAAAGAATACTGGGAGAAGTACACTGCTGCAAAGTAAGTGCTCCTAGTTAGGCAGTTAATTTTGGTGTGTCTAAATAACTGCTTGTAGGAGCTTGCAAACTGATTTTAATGTGTATTGGTCTCTAATCTTGCAAACATTGTGCTGTAGTTCAGGCACAGTTCTGGAAATGTATTTCCTTTGCATAATTCCTTAGTACTGTGGGTGTCCTAAAAGTTCTTGTGATTTTTGCATATCATTGGAGAACACCTTGTAGCTGATGTTCATCTCAAACACTGTTTGCTTCTCTTGCATATCTCTGGATAAAACTCAAAATGGAATATATACTTGGAGGCTTTCCTGTTTGATCCATGAGGATTTTCCTGAGCATTCTTACATTTATGAAAACCTGTAAAACCTATATCTTTAACTTCCAATTTTGTTATTTCATAAAATTTCTTTTCAAACACGTAGTTTGTCCCAAGGCATTATTAAGTCTACTCATACAGTAAGTTTGAGGTTGCAGTATCCTGAGATTTTTCAACAGCCTGTGCTTACCCACAAGAATTATCTCAAATTTCTATAAACATGTCAGAATGCACAGTTTGTTTATAGGGATTGTTTACAAATCACCCTCCAGACCTTGCATTTCTGTGTGCACACCATTAATGCAGCACAGGTAAATAAAACTTAAGTTTTCTAATCTGTCTCCTCGAGGAACTGATTCAGCTCCATCTGTTATTTTTTTGAAAGACAGTAGTTTAAGCTGAGAGCTAAAATGCATGTTTTGGTGTCAGAATCTTCTGTTAAAGAGAGATACCAAACCTGTGCAGTCGTGAATTATGTTTGCCATTTTCACACACAGTTTATTTACCGAGGGGTAGTGACTGTCTTTCTAATCTGTCTCTGCTTCCTGGGGCTCAGACTTACACTTTTGTCTGAAATCACTGAAACCCCTTTGCAGTTGCTGGAAAACCCTTCCTGAATTTTATTCAGGAGCATTCTAATGAGACTCTGCTGTTCGAAAAGAACTTTTAATATCAGATACTAAACAGTGCAGAAACTCACAATCACCATCTATTTTCCCTTCAGCAGAGCAGATTTCATGCTTTGTTTTGTTTGCTGTTGATTTCATCTCCAAGATCTGCCTCCCTGGGTTTTTTCAAATATTTGGGCATCCTGGGGGAAGGGAGTGGTGGTGTTGGGTTGTTGGTTTGGGGTTTTTTTTTTTCTTTTCTCTTGAGGTGCAGTTGATCCTGTGCATTTTCTTTCACAAGAGGATTGCTCATGGAACAAATTTGCTAGACTGCAAAATATAGAAGAGCTTTTTTTAAACAAAGAGGCCACTTACATGGGCAGCCTTTTGGAGTCACTGTATGTATTTGGCTAAGGATGCTGACTTTGGGAATTCACAGTGAGGAGTGTTTTGTTGTGCAGCACAGAGGAATTGCTGGTAATTCCTGGTAACACAGGTGACACTGGGCACAGAGTTACATACCTGGGTTCTAAATTGCCTTTGTCAGCTAACAAGGCACTGTCTACCACTACTAAACAGCAAATGCATGTCGGTTTAGCCCTTGGCACATGCCAGGGAGGTGAGTTGTCTTTCTTTTCCCTTCCATGCCAGACTAACCAGGCTCTTTTTTTAACTGCTGCCCTCCTAACAGCACTTGGGGCCTGAGAGGCTGCTCTGAAATGGATCAGGGCAGATTTCTCAGTTGTCCTGAGAAACTGATTCCAAGCAAGCAGAAATTTAACAGGAATCTTTGGGGGAAAAACAAAACAAACAACAAAAAAAGCAACATGCAGAGACTGCCAACAAACAGCAGAAAAAAACCCAAAACAACCAAAAAATAACCCCAAGCCACCAACAAAAAACCTCAAAACAAAACCAAAACCAGCCCACCAAAACAATGCCAACAACAAACACCATCAGCTATCTGTCTGCTTACTTCAAGATTTTTTTTCCCCCAAGAGAAATCTGACTGCAGAAATGAGCACTTGACAAAAGCCATGTTACAAAGGCAACACCTGTAATAAGGTTACTCTAAAAATGAAAGACCAGTTTTATGTAAATTGAATTTTATGTATGTAAAAAAAAATTAAAGCAGACCTCACTACAAAATACTGCAAATTTTCTTTTCAAGTCAGTAACATTTCTAAACCGAAAATATTTCTCTGATTTTTAATTTTGTATTGCCATATAGCAAAAGGCACATGAAATGTCCTTGTGTGTTTTGGGTATGTTAGATATTAATACAGGGAATTTTCAGTTCTATATTCAAGTAATAGCATCAAAATCTAAAATACTTGTGTAACACTTTATTTATGGTTCCTTTTTGTAAAGGATCCACGAGTATATTTGCATTAGTTTAATCTTTTCACCTTTATGAATATATAGTTCATCCTGGTGTTAGATACTTGAGGAGATTTATATATTTGATATGTATATCTCTAAAAGTAATATATTTTAATATTACAGATTTAGAAATGGCCATTGCCTACTGGAATTTAGTACTTAATGGAAGATTTAAATTTCTAGACTTGTGGAACAAATTTTTGTTGGTAAGTTTAAATCTTTACATAAGCTGGATTGCAGTATTTTCAGAACTTGAGAGATAAACATGTTTAAATTATCAAGTAGATGAAATAGACTGTCTTGACCCAAATCCCAGATATTCGTAGTATGTACTAAGAGAAATATGTTTTGGGGATATGGATGTGTCCAAGACAGTAAAAATGAATGGGTTTTAATTTATTTTTTTAAAAATATGAATTTTCTACCCCTCTGAACAGGAACATCATAAAAGATCAATTCCTAAGGATACCTGGAACCTTCTTCTAGACTTTAGTACAATGATAGCAGATGATATGTCTAACTATGATGAGGAAGGTAAACATTTCCATTTTCTTTCATTAACTTCTAACTGTGTTTTATGCTACGTTCATTAATGTGTGTCTGCTTTGGCACAGCTGTCTAATAACAGCACAATTAGAACGTCCCCAGTGATCTAAAGCCCACTCAGAGCTGCTTTAATGCATGTTGTAAACATCTGTTTGTTTACTGCAGGTTTAAAAAAGAAATGCTGAAACTTTCCTAGAATCCATTTTCCTTTGTTCTTCTATCTGAGCTCAGACACAAATTCCATCTTACTGAGACCAACCCTGATATTTGTGCATTTGAAACCCGTGAATTCTCTGTTGGTGGGAGCAGTCTGGGCATCTTCATCCAAGGAACTGACCCATGGCCCAGGCAGTTCCGTGTAGGGTCCTCTGGTTACTGCATTTCGAAGCTGGGAATGCTTTTTAAGTTTGGTTGCCTCAGTTCATGTGAGGGTTGGCCCTGCAAGGATACAGAAGTGAAGCTGGCAGCACGCAGGGATTGCTAAGCAGAAGTCACTTCCTACCAAATGTGTTTCTGTATCGATCTGTCCTCTCTCAGTCCCATCTGTAGCCAAGAACAGCTGATCACCCTCAGTGCTTGGCAGCACATCAGTTCAGTGAGGGGAGGAAACTGTAAACTTGTGATAGCTCCAGAGCAGAGGGGAGCAAGCTTCTACTGCTTCATCTGATAATTATGGACAGTTCTCATTCCCCTGTCAGCGAGAGAATGCTGCTGCCTGCCATCAATCCGTGTCGCTTAGAAAGACTAAAGGCAGAAAATATGTTGGAATGATTTGGAATAAAAATATTTGAACTAGAAAAAAGCCCCCCAAAACCCCACCCATGGTTATTTTTAACCTTCACGTGACCATCGTGTGCAGGACTGGGGACTCTCTGGTTATGGCTGCCCATAGTGTGGGAAATACTGTTATGTATTTCAATTGCCTCCTGGGAAGGAATGTGGAGGAGTGTATGGAGTGTAACAGGAGCCTTCTGGGACATCAGGCTGCCAGGGTGTGCTTGGCTGTGCTCAGGTGTGGCTGAGTGTGCTGGTTCTAAGAGGTGATGAGCTTTGCATTCATGCAAACCACGCTGTGAGCAGTAAATGCTGTAGAATACTCTGTTATGCTGCTGCTCCATCCAGTGTTCAGCACTCCTTAAGCAGCTACTGCCATCCTGCAGGTCAGGTTAGAGTCCTGGTGCCATTGTCAGGTTGTTTTTTTTTTATGGGGGTGGCATTTTTTTTGTTTTATTTGGTCAGGAAGACGTCCTTTGAAAGAAATGTGTATTAACTGGGTTTAAAGGAAGTAGAAATCTTTAACCAGCTCTTAAATTTCAAGCAAGAAAATCAAATTCCCTTTTTTTTTTATTTTTGCCAGAAACTCTGCCTGGTTTAAGACTGGAAAGTAAAGAGCTTGTTTGGAACTGAAGCTTTTAAAAGAGTGGCTTGTTGAACAGAGTTCTTACATTCTGGTGTTTTTATCTTCTAGGGGCATGGCCGGTTCTTATTGATGACTTTGTGGAATTTGCACGCCCTCAAATTGCTGGGACAAAAAGTACGACAGTGTAGCACTAAAGGACCCTTCTAGAGTGTACATAGTCTGTACAAATACCTGAAATGGAAAATTGCACAGTCAATTTCTGCTGGCTGGACTGAACTGAAGATCAATCCTCACAATGAGGCTGAGGGTTGAGACAAACCTTTAAGGATACATCTTGGACCATATCATATTTCATTCTTCTCCTGGTGGTTTGGGCTTTTCTTCTAGTCTGGACCGCTCTTGCCCGTTAAAATTCCAACATTGTGGATTTCATCATGGGTTTATTTTTTTGTTGGTGGATCACCCTAGTTTCATCTCCCATAAGCCCTAGAAGCTTTTATAATTATTTTGAGGTTTCTGGTTTCACATAAAGCACAATGCTGGTCATCATCAGACAACTGTTGTATGGCATCTGAATTATACAGATCAACACTGAAACCATTTTTCAAAGAATCTCCTTAAATATACACTTGGGGCTGGTTGCAAAGACTGTACTGAGAGCACTTCCTGCAAGAGTGATATATTTAAGTGTCCTGGGTCTGAGTTTTTTCTTTTCTGGAAAAGTGCAGGTATTGTCTAAGTGAGTTTGAGTATCTGGAAAAAAACAAATGCAGAACTAAGCCAGAAATCCCAAGGTGGTTGCTCCTGGGGTCTCTGGGTGCCTCCCTGCCTGGTTTGATCGTGCCCCAGCTGGCTGTGAGGGCAGCTGAGCTACGACACAACTCTGTGCACTTAAGCGCTCATGTGTGATGTCAGAGCGCTCAGTGGCATCAGTGGGATGAGCTGTGTGTGTCCTCATGGCATCCAATATTCCCTAGGTTACTGTCTAAGAAACCAGATTTCACTGCAGTTCTGAAATGCTTATCTGTCTGTCAGAGAAAGGTTTTTCATTTCTGTGGAAATCGAAAACTTGAATATACTGAATTTGTGTCTTAACTGTTTGCTACACAATACAGTATTTTAAATTGAGATGTGTAACTTTTATGGTTGAGGTATGATGAAGCAAATGGCCCTGTTGTACAAGAAGCTGGTGAGTTTGATGTGAATCTAGGTTTTGAAACCATTATCCTGATAAGTAAGGTAAATCTTTGTAACATAGAGGTACTGCCGTTACAGATGACACCCTTTTTTCAGTTATTTTGTTGAGTTTTCCTTAAATTGACATATCACTGTGGTTGCCAAATACAGAAATTAAGAGTAAAGCTTTCCCAAACAAGCACAGATCAGATACAAACTACTACACTGGCTTTGTTTGTTTAAATTATTTTGTTGATCACTACTTCTTACTGTCCTCCCGTGTTTGACTAAATCAAGTTCATTTGGATCAAAGCAGGTTTTATCAGATGCAATTATTCTTTAATATTACAAGAACTCTCGAGCTGCTTTTGTGGTCTTTTACTCCTCACTTAGTTACTTGTGAAGAGGTTTGGTAAATCCTGCTCTGTAAAAGAAGCTCCAGGAGAGGAGACAGACCGGAGTTACAAGTGAGGAGAGAGTTGAGTTTGTGCTCTAAATAGTGCTGTGATAAGGCCAGAATTATTTTTGAGATGAGTCATTGGTACTTGCACTAAACAGCAGCACACTTTTATGCAGATGCTAAAAGTATTTTAGGGAAAAATTGAAAACTATTAAACGGATGAAAATTTTTTATTTGTACTCCCTGAAGTTGCCCTTAAGGCTGGCTCCCCTTTTAGCAAATCAACTTGTGCGTTTATTCCAAAAATACAGTTCCACAAAACCATTGCAAACCTGCTCCAGCTACTGGAATTGGCTATGCCAAAAACTGTGTGTTTTGCTGCTTTCAGTATTTCCTTTTGTGTAAATATAAACGGGGACTTGAAATTACGGGGGTGGGTGGGGTGGAAAAAAGCTCGACAAGGTTATCTCTGCGTGCTGTTTTCTGTCTTGAGGGTTTTGGTACCGTTTCAGATTGATTAGTTCAAGTATTGCTGTGTTTGGAGAGGAGAACTGACTTGCTTTTTATCCCAATGCAGACTTGTCCCTCCAGAAAGTCTGAGATTGGGCAGTGGCGAAATGCCGTGGTGTTTTAAAGACTATTCCTTTTGAATGCAAGATCTTTTCAACAAAATAGTGTTGTCATCAGTTTGGTACTACATGCTTATAATTACTGTGTAATTATAAAGAAATACATAAAACTTTGACTTATTATGTTGCAGAAAAGGGGTTATTTGTGCTATCATGGCATCTTAAAAAGTTTTTCAAAATGACTGAAGTTGAAAGAAACATTGATTTAACAGGGTGTTGTTTTAAGGACAAAAATGCCTGGTTACAGGGAATATTTTGTACTGAAACGTGCTCGGATGTGGCCACGTGTGTTTTTCCTTTATATATTTGTGTGGTTTTCTCTTTTTTTTTTCTTTTTTTTTTTTTTTGAGAATGCAGCCAGTTGGTTCCTTGGATTGCTTTAATTCGTAAGTGCTTACGTCTTCAATTCGATGATCTCCCCACAAATGGATCGATTTGATTTTGCCAAATGTCAAGGGGAAAAAAAAAAAGGCAAAACCATCAAGTTTGTAACCTGTTTTTATACATTAAATATGTACAAAATTAGAAGTGCCCTGATATAAAACACTTAATCTCGAGGTTATATTTAGTAAAAAACCGTCATTTACATATCTCTGTAAGTTCAAATGTAACTTCTTACAATCCCTCTCATTACCAACAGAGGCAATAAAGCTCCAGTGAAATTGCCATGACTGAGGCTTCTCCTGCATTGTTTCAGTGTATTATTTGTAAGACTTATTTCTGGAATGCTCTTTTAAGGATTGGGGGAAAAAAAAGCATGGAATATTTCTGCATAAAATACAGTTTTGTGGTAAGTTTGTTTGGTTTTTTTTTTTTTTTTCTTTTTGGGGAAGAAATAATCTAAAAACTGCTACAACACCTTGCCTACTGCTTGTTGTCCATGTTTACGAGTCCCCTTGGAGCCGGTGTTCCCAGCCCTCGGCACTGCCATTCCCTTGCATGTGAAGGAAGACACCACACACTGCAGTGGTTTAAATGTGGCTGAAGACCCTCCTACAGTAGTGAAGTGACTTTTTTTTTATCGACCTGTTAATAAGTAACTTATGACTTGCTTCAAAACTGTTTTACAATGAAATCCGTGCTGAGAAATCCTTATTTAAGAAAGATCTAATTTTTTAAGAATGCATTTAATAAACTTTTGTCATTCACACTTTATTTAAATATTGTTGCCAGAAGTCTCTGTAGATTTTGTTTGAGTATGGTACAGTGACTGTGTTTGGGTTTTAAACCGTGGTGCCCTTGACCACAGCATTAAATACTTGATGGAATTATAATTTCATCTAGCAGAAATAGGCCTAAGCTTTGTAGAACTGTAACTGGTTCAGTACCAATGAGCAGAAGTATCTGCTTGAGTAAAGATCAAGAATTTTGCTCCTGACAGTTTAAACAGGCACCTGTAACTCAGGCCCCAGTCTGAGTATTTAACCTGGAAGTTCTTTGCTAAATGGTCTTCAAGTTCTCAGACTTAACAGAAACTGCCTGAATGTAATTTGAGTATTTTGCAAGAAAATTAAAACTCCTCCTTTTCTAAATTCAAATTGTATGTGTCCATAATGTAACATTCCAAGCCTTCCTGGGAGTTCAAAGGAGAACTGGCAGGAGTCAGAGGGACTCCTGTAAATCAAAGTAGGACCAGGAACCTGAGAGGGTGGGAAATGATGGGGCTGTAAAGGTGGGGTGTGGAGAGGAGCAGGCTGTGGTTGGGCAGCTGAGTGAACGCTCGGTTACATTTGCTGTTGGAGAAATGGGAATGACACCCAGGCTGGAATTCATCACCGGTCACCTCATGGTGGGCTCCAGGGCCAGCGCGTTCCTGGGTCAGCTGATTTGAGCTCAGCTGCGGGAGGGACACCCCTGCATCCCCCAGCACACACAGCTGTGGGGGTGTGTAACTGTGGGTGTCTGTGGACAGCGGTGGGGGGGTTTGGTTTTGTTTTGCTTTTCTTCCTGGTGGATTTCTCTCCAGCCTGAGACTGCTGGGACTACATTTACTGACTGATCCTGGTCCTGTGACACAGCAAGCCTGGCTTAACTCTGCCATATTCTCCTCTAACACATAATTAAAACAATGACTCAGCTAGAAGTGAAAGTTTTATTTAATAAATATAATTTTCATAAACCATTTTCAAAACAACTTCTACTGACCAAGCTGTACAAGGAGCAAGCACACAGCCTCGCTGTCAGAGGAGCAAAACCAACATGAGGCAGCCACAGTGTCAGAGGTCCAAAATTCTTTGTACTAATTATTGCTAGTTTCCAGTTGGCAATGCCCCTTATTTGCCTAAAATTAAGGATCAACATCTTTCAAATAGTACTTCTTGCAGAGATTTTATCATTCCAGTTTTTTTTTTTTTCTTCAGAAAAGCAGAACTTGATCACACTACGGTGAAAAAACAGGAGATGAGATGATCTGTTGTTTTTGTATGCATAGGACCCAAAATCTCTCGTGGGACTGCAACTAGGAATTGTAAAATCTGTTCTTTGAGATAAAAATAAGATATCCCTACAGCAAGGTGAGCCTCATTTTTAACCATTTCCCCCAGAGATTATCTTTTAGCCCATTGTCAAAATGCAAAAAAGGTTGGGAACCTGCTGATGGATGAAGTAATTTCCTTTAAACCTGCTGAGGAAAAATTAATCCACCCCCCACCTCCAGGCCAGGCCAGGGTTTCTTTCAGACAAGTCACGCTCTGTGCCACAAACAGCAGCACGTTCATTCATCACGTTCCGGGCACAGCTTCAGCCCAGGCCCCTCCGCTCACATGGGTGCATTTACAGGCTGGAAAGCACCGCGGCCCCTCTGCAGGGATGACGGGACGGACCGAGGGCAGCACGGCCGGAGCCCCGCAGCGATGGGAACATCCCCTCAACCAGCACCACCCGCGCTCTCCGCCGGGACAGTCCTGGTGCCTCCGGGAGCAGGACTGAGCTGAAGGAAAAAAAAAAAATCTACGGCAAGCAGAAGCCTCGCAAATACCGATGCAAATGCGCTTCTAAGACGACTGATGGCAAGAGCTGATAGAGCCACGAGCATCGCGTTCTCTCCTCCTCCTGTTACAAACTGAGGCATTCCCAGAGAGCAGAACGCAGACAAATCATGCCGCTGGAAGCAAACAACAGAAGCAAAGAACGTACAGAACAACCAACAGTAAAAATGTTTGCAGGAAAAAAAAGAAAACAACAAAGAAACAAACCCAACCCAGATCTGCAAAGAAGAGTCTAGCTGGGAACTAATTTAGGAGCAGAATAAAGGCTAAAATTAGTCCCTAGTGAGTGGTTTGCCCAGTTCTAGGAACAACTGTAAGCAGGGACATCTGTGTAACAAACAAGGCAGTGGCGAGTCCAGCGATGATGGCAAGGTATTAGGGATTCTACACCCAAAAAATGAGAATCCCAAAATAGCTCAAAAATAAATGGTTCAGAAGCACATTATGCTTGAGCACTTTAACACTGAATTTCGCCAAAATCACAACTCCTTAGAAGGACAGAAGTATCAAACTATGAAAAATAATTTAGACTACAGCTTTGAGACACCTCTATCACTAGAAAATGATATTTTATTCCAATTATATAGAGGTTACACTGTCATAAAAAAACGTTTGAAAGTACTACCAAAGGTTTTCAGTAAGAAATTGTAGGTGCCTAATATGCATTCTGAATTGCATGAACTTTTCTCAAATCACCTTTTGCACTTGAAAACAATAAATCACTCTGAAAATATAAAGCCCAAGATTTCAGGATTCCTTCCTTTGCAGTTTTTGTTCCCCCTCCCCACCTGTAACCTTAAAAAATATACAGAATACTTTTAAGCAGAATATTTACATTTTAGTTTGTGAAACAATTCGAAACACCTTCCCACTGAAGTCTTTTCCACTGCATCCTTTTAAAAGCTTAAGCTTGGCAACTAAGATTATGTTTTCCTAAGTAACAAAACCAAACCCTGTTTTTCCCAGAACGAGAACTGACCTGCTGGGAATGCAACCCCATTTGGGAGGGGCTGTGGAGAAGGTGCTTCTTCAGAGACACTGCATAGTAAAGCAGAGTGTACACCACTCCTGCTTTGAACTACAAACACCTACTGCAGGCTTGTATGGATTTCAAGGCTAAGGGAGAATAATAAGACATTTCCTCCCCGTGGCAAATTGTCCCCCACCCATTCCCGCTCTGACTCGGGGACGATTGCCAGCGTTACACTGAATTAGCTGGATTTTGTTCTGGCTTCTTCACGAAGGATTCTGCACCGTGCCCAATGCACAGTGAATGGTTTCCTACACTTCAGCTGTCAAAGAAATACACAAAGTCCTTCTTCCTTGAATAGAAGCGTTTTTAAAAGCTTTGTGACATCAACACAAAACCCCAGTCACTTCTTCCATCCAAAGTATTTGTCACACCAAAAGATCTGCTCTAATGCAAACTGTGTCTACGCTCTGAATGAGACATTAGTGACTTAGATTTACTGCAAATAGAAAAATATACCTTGGCAGACAGATGGATTCTTAAGTTCCTCCTTAATTGTTTAAATGCATGTTTCTTCGGTAACCTTACAAACACTGGGAAGAGGGAAAGGAGGGGGGGAAGGGAGGGGAGGAGATGGAAGGTTTTAAAGAAACACATAATGAATGTAGATTATTCTTCAAATATAGGACCGTGCTGCTTTTGTGCAAATATAATCAACACATTTGTGTGGTAAAAGCCAAAATACATCACCCCCAGAGCTGAGCCAGTGGAAATGCTTGGAGTGGGGCTGTACAAGGCCTCTGCTTCCTACTGCACAAAGTTAACCCCGGTCTGTGTTTTGGTCCAGGACACACGAGCCACACGGATGGATGAGGTCACACAGTCACACACACTGATGGGACAATGCTGTGGCTGACACGGACAAACAGGTACTGCTGAGAGGTGGAACACTGTGATTTAGGTGTAAGAGATAGAGCTAAACAGCAGATATCTGATGAGAGCACGTAACTCTGCATTTCCTTGGTAACCGTGGCAGTGGGAAGTCTCTGAGAATGAGAAACTGCTACGAAGGAAATGATTTTAAACCCAGGTTTAATATTATAGATATGAAATATAAAATTACAGGAGTAGGTGAAATCCAAGTGTATTTTGCTACTAGTGCGTATCTGGATAAGGTTTTTTGGGGGACTGGAGACACAACAATCAGGTTATTGCATCTCTGCCCTGGATCCAGGTTTCAAGCTGACTGCAGGGGGATGAGTCACATGTTCATGCCTGCTGCACGGAGAAGGCAAGGCTCAGTTTTAGTGTTTCCTCATCACCTGGACACTCACTGGGGGGATCTACTGTACACCTGACCTTGTCAAGCCCAAGCTTCACTGCACTCAAGCATTTGAAGACACGATACAGAAATGAGCCATGAGTGCTGAATTAACATTTGCTTAAAAGGAAAATTTGTTGTATTTTGTTTCTTCTGTTTTGTAATTTATTTTCAGAGCTTCCTAAATTGTGAACTGGTCTTTATCTATAACATTGGGATGAAACCCTCATGTGCTGCATGTTCAGGGCACTGCAAGTTTAACAACAAGGTTGCAATGACAATTTCTTCAGTACACAAACGTTGCCTTGAGCAGTGAGATGTTGAAAACCCCACGGTACCCACAGCCTTCAGCTTGGAGTGAAGCTGCCAATCACTAATGCAAAAATAAAGCTCCAAGATGAGAGCTGAAATTATACCAGTTAAAGTCACAAACAGGAGTAATTAACAGCAGAGCTGGTTTTAGGTAAGGCACATGCAAAGGATCTGATCCAAGGAAAAGTGGGACCTCTTCAACACTCCCTCTCCTCACTGAACTTGGGAGAATTTGGGATGAGGGATTTTAGAAGGAGGGATACACTCCTCTGGCAGCAGCCCAGGCCCCACTGAGACATCACCAGGAGGGTGGGATGTTCCTGCCTGAATGTTGGAATACAAAGGATTTGCTGTGAAATGTGCTCAGGGGCAGCACTGAGGGCAGTGGTAGTAACTCATCCAGGCAGGGGAAAAGCGGCTTTGTCCCAACCCTACACTTCCCCACACCTTTACTGAACAAGTTCTGGTGTTATTTACAGTCAGTGTTTGATTTACAGTTTATTCTACCCCGAGTTAATTTTAAATACACAACTTTACATCTTTAACTGCCTGACAGGGAGAGTACTGAAGTTACTGATGGGACTCGTTGTCAGATACTGACTCCAAATGGGATGTCCCAAAGCAGCAGCACTTTCACCTGCCTCCAGCCACAAACCCCACTGTGCCCCAGGCAGTGCTCTGCAGCATCCCTGTGGCAGCACCTCCATTTCACCTCCCACTTCCAAAGACAACCCTCCTGGCTGAAGGAACACGTAAATGTTGCTGCTGCCCAGCCCCGAGCCTGCAGACACTTTTATACTGGGGCAACAGAAGTACCTGCAAGATGCACCATTCAAACCTCCAACTGTGCAATTTGCTTTTATTGGCATACTCGGGTATCAAAACATTGCCATCGAGGTCTCGGATCCTTCCCATATACGAAGATAATTAAGCATTAATTATATCTCCAAAGTACAACATGACCAAATATAAATACATGAAAAAGAACAAAACATGCAAAAAATTCCCCAACTTTAAAAGATTAATAATTCAAAAAATTTATGCTAGTGAGACTTCTGCACAACCCACCAATTCTTTAAACATTTTTCCATGTCAGGATCCAGAACTGTTAAAAACCCCACACATGGCATAATAAAAGATGACTGGCTTCTGAATTATACTTTAAGAAAACAGTGAACTGTTATATGCCTTAGTATTCCAAATTATTAATTTGTCACAGTTAACAGCGTTTTTCAAAGCAATGACTACTGTATTGCCACTCATACACCAGCATAAATATTTGAATTGCATTTAACTCTCAAAAATTACTAAACTGATTGCCAACAGAATATGGTAACCGTCCACAGAAATGAAAAAATCGATCTGCAAACTGCTAAGACAGCATCTGAGACACAGCCCAACATTAATGTGTGTGTTTAAAGGGAAAGGTCATCTTAAAAAACCACAACTTTTAAAACTTCCATTGTGCAAATTCAAGTTGATTCAAATCGGATCACTCAAATTTGGGAGGAGAAAGATTTTGTCATTGCGCTACAGTGACGTCTCAAGTATTAAATTCAGGATTCCAATCTGCTCATATGGTAACGAAAAAAGATCAGATGGTCAGAGGTAAAAGCATTCCTTACCTCCCAAAAAAATTATTTAGCAATTTGTAGATTTAATTACAAAAAAATACTGGAAGCAATTGCTGTGCAGATGACATGCCAGGCCACAGACAAGGTCTGTGCTCAGGAGTCTCTCCTACTCTTTCCTAGGGCAGCGACGCACACTGGACTCGCCTCAGAACCTACAGGTGTGTGAGCACCACATGGCATCCACAAGGCATTTACAAATGTCCCTGTCAACAAGTGGCTGAGTCCATTGTGGAGAGAGTCAAGATGCTTCTGTCGTTGGCATAGAAGGGATCCGAGGAACTCCATGATCTAAAGTAACAATAAAAGAAAAGTTTGGCTGACTGGGAACTTACTTACACTCTGTAGAGGTGAGGAGAAAAGTCTAGGAAAGCAAAGGATAGAAGTGCTACGAGGTTAGGCAAATGTACCTCTTTAAAAGACTAATCTACTAATTTCATGTGGGCACCTCCAGTTCATTCAGACCTCTGAGAACAGATGCCAGCTCATGTCTGCTGTGTAATGAACAATTTACTCACAGCTACGGATATTTTCATCACTATGAACTAAAACAGCCTGAGGTTTACATGCCCCTTTTGCCACTGAAGTTGTGCCTCAGGGAGACTCTGAATGCTGCCTGGGTACACTGAGGCCATTCCAGCAGAGCCCTGTGGTGCACAGCGAGCCCTGGAAACCCAGCACAGCCCAGCGGGAAACATCCACACTGCCTGGGGTTGTGGGCAGGCAAAACTGATCCACAGCCATCAATCTACTTCATCCCTTTTACTGTAAAGTTTTAAGACATCAGGAAAACTACCTAAGACGTCACAGCTTCTGACTGAGATGGGGTCTCACAATGTCTTTCACCTGAGGACAAATTACTGCTTGGGAAGAAATACTGTTCTTGCCTGAACAATGTTATGCAAATTGTATGTGAAATGCTGAAAAGCAGGAAATCAAAACATAATGAACTTATCCTCCAAATTAGCCTCTGTCAGAAATCTGTTGTTTCTTTACAACTGTTACATGCAGTGCCTTGGCACAAGCACCACTAATGGGAGATCCAGCAATTCAGCAATGAATCCTACTGTACAAGAAATGTGATCCAGCATTCTTAATATCTGAGTGACTGACAAGCTGACAGACAGTTTAATGGAACAGACAGACAAAAATGCATTTTTAACATACCACACCACACATTTTATATTCTAACTGGTGAATGGAGCTATAGAAAATATTTCTCAAATACATTTTTACAAGCAGTAAATTAAACACAAGAGAACTATACTCCTGTGGCCCACTACTCCAAGCATTTGTACAACTTTGATTCATCAAAGCTTCTATCAAAATTTGATATCATGTTGGATTTCATGTTCAGTTATCATATTTGACAGAATATCAGGAGCACAGAACACAATACAAGCTGCTACAGCAACATTATTTAAAGTAGTGCTCTTCATTCTACAGCACTCGCACAAAGTATTTATCAGCATCACTTCATTCAACAGAAACAATTTGCAGCGACCTCCTGGTTGAATAATTTGCTGCTTTATACAGCACAAGTGCTCAGGAGACCATCCTGCACAATTTTCTGAAGATTTAGATACAAAACAAAGCAGCTCAAGCTCGTGAACAAAGCCTAAACGATTTTACAAGCACTTCAAAAAATCACCCAATAGATTTCTTAACTGTACCTTCAGCACTTCACAACTTGTAACTGCTTCAAGTGATTTAAGCAATTAGTACGTTAAAAAATGAACAAAGACTTTCTTATATTACCACAAAAGTGTAAGGGAAAAAACTGACTTTTAGCCTTGGTTTTAAGTGTCAGGGCTGAGTGGAAGGAGCTGAAGTCGTTGAAGAAAGCAAGTTTGACAGACTTAAAAAAAAAAATCTCTTTCCTAGTTGTACTGTACCTAAATTTAAGTGAAACTAGAAAGATTGTTCAGAGCAATTTCAACCAGAGGCAGCAGCAAAACCCACAGAACTTCAAGCCCTTAGTGTAGCACCAAGATAGTTTTGCATATTCACTAAACATAATGCTACTGTCTGTGTTCTAAGAACTCTACAATTATTTGGCTTGATGGAACTTCATTGGAAAATTACATGAGGTAAGCAGACAAGAAACCTGAGAAAAAGCAGTCTCCAAAGAGTGTTTAATATTCTGTCAAATATGAGTTGTCTTCAATAAATATTTTTAAGTTTTTAAGGAAAGAAAATTTAAGTGGAACAAAAGAGAAAACTGTAAAACTGTAAATGCATTAAATAAAACACAGAATACCTACCTTATAAGACTACAGGTTACTAAGGCAATTGTTAACTAAAAATCTTAATTAGGTAACAAGAAATGAAAAAGAAGTAGCATGAGCAATTCCTCATTTGGAAAGCACAGTTTTACAGAGAAGTAGAAAAAAACACCAAAAAACTTAGAGCAACTGCTACCAAAATGTTGATTTTTTGACCAATTAAATGCTCACCTTGCAGATTAAAAATTCTATTAAACTGTTTATTTTACACATCATGCCCGCTTTCTATACAGCAAGTTTGGATTAAAAATGTACTCAGTCATAACAGTTCATTTTTCATGTGGAATGAAACATTTTGCATATTCATACCCTAGGTTTGTAGAAACATTGAATAAATTTCATAAGCAAGCCAGAAGAAAGAGACTGACTGAAACCACAGACACAGAGTGTTCAACACAAGAGTTCCAACAGAGATGAGCTACAGACCAGGCAATACCTAAAGGCAGAATCAGAGCTCACAAAGCTGTCAGTGGAAATTACCCACACAAGGCTTGATGCCCAGTGAATGATATCACAACCTTTAACAGAAAGAGACAAAGTTGTCCAAACGCAAAATGAGTTCCCTTGAAAATGTGTGAAGCTCAACGTTTTCAGGTTTGCCTTTTGACCAGTGAAGGACCATGATATCATTCAGGGACTGAGAGATTACGATGTACAAAAGACTGTTTTTACTTCTACCCCCAAATATTTCCATGTTTGTTCACTATCCCTCCGTTTGGACGTGGGGAGGTGGCACATTTGGGGATTCAGTGAGAGCTCCTCTCACAGTTATTCTGACCAGAAGAGCAGTATTGCTCTTCAGAACATATTTCATTACTCCAACGTGCTTTTATCCCACTGATGTTTGTTTCACACGTGGTTTGTGAAGGAAAGATTTATTTAGCACATACTTTGGAATGGCACACATGATTTTGACAATATACCTTCTAGAACCGAAAAAAACCACTTAAAATTCTTAGAACCTGAAGACTCTGTTCTGTCAATTACTCTGATTTTAGAAATAGCTTATAAAAGTTAAACTACAAAAATATTTCATCTTCATATCAATCAATGGCTGAAAGATTTAAAGACTCTCCTTCTAACAATGAAGTTATATTTAAGGGGGGGAGTGTGAGCCTTTTGTATATCTTCAGGAGTAATTCAAGCTCCAAGGTAAATATTTGGAGGTTGTACATCCAGAACCAAAGGGAAAAGGCTTTCGACTTTACAAACAACTCCTGATTTGTGAAGGCAAAGAAAAAAAAAATCATAAAAAGGAGAACAAAAACAGCAGCAAGGCTTGATTTTCTAAAGAGAAGAATGTACAAATCAAGAGAAATTACGATAGATACAACACAAGAACTTGTAGTAAAGCCAAACTAAACACTTTAACAGAAATCTTTTGAAAACCGTTTTCCCTCCTCCCCATCCCAAAGGAAACCGCTCAAAAAGAAACAAGAAACTAATTTTTTTTTTTTTAGGATGAAAAGAAGTACAATAAAGAGTTGCATCTCCTACTTAGGTAAGCAAAACCTGCAGCTGATTTCTAGACATCTATTGCTGCAGGCTCATCGGGTTCCAGTTTATAGGAGAATCGTCTGCAGCAAAGGCTATTGAGAGAAATGCCACACCTGTTGACCCGGGCTGGGCTACATCTTCCCATTAGTCGTTCCAACATTCTTCTAACAGGTGTGCATGCTGTTTCCCCATCTGAGAAGCAGCACATGGAGTCCACGCAGTTGATACCTGAACCTGCCTCAGTAAGCTGGAAGGAAGGAATAAAAACAAACAAACAAACAAAAAACAAATAAAAATAAAATCAGTACTCACAGATTCTAGCAATGAAGATGTTATCAGAAAACACTTAGGAGAAGCAGGTTTTCTTAAAGTTAGAGTGTTGAATATTTTTCAATATTACAGGAGAACTACAGTGAGGAATAGCATTACTGTGCCCCAAGGCCTGGATACACTAAAATTTGATCTTGGCAAGGTTTGAATGCAGCCTTGGTGAGTGCATGGAAATGGTTTAACACCACATCTGCCCAACGCTGGGAATGAGCTGGTTAGGAATTCTCTGTGTTGCAGCTCTAACAAAGCCCACAGCAGAGCACATGCAGTTCCAGCTGGGATGTCTCAATTCACCTCAGTGGCTGTACAACAATTTGTACAAGCTCAGCTCTGTCCTACTTAGAGGGAAATCAAGGGAAAGCTTCAGGCTGGGGCTGCAGAACACAAAGCAGCAACCTGATCCTACGTAATAATTTTTCCTCAAGAAGTGCAGAATGCAACTTCCTACAATAATTCACAGATTTTCACTACCACAGATACCCTTGGCTTGGTACAGAACAAAAGCACATTCCTGATTTTACAAACATAGTTTATCCAAATGCAAACAAGGCTGATGTCAGAAAGGTTCAGTCATGTTCATGGCAACACTAAGAATAATCCAATATTAGCATAATAAACTTTCGACAGCTGATTTTTTTGCAGGTGAGAAAAAAAAGCAATAGAAGTAATAAAAGGGGAAAAAAAAGCAGTAACAGAGATGTGTGGGTGTCAGTGCCACCTACCCGTGTGCTCCTCTACAGCACTGCTGCACACCAGCCAACTGCAGCAACCTGAAATCTCCCTGACATCTTGCATTTCCAGAGAGAAGAGCCTAGACTGACTCCAGTAACCTTTCCAAAAGGAAATAAAAATGCAAATGTGGAGTATGGGGATGCTTTTTAATTTCATTTGAAACTCTCCATGAGAGCATCCTGTCAAACAAATATTGAACACACTGACTTGAGCATCCATTATCCTGTCCTCACACCAGTGAATGAAGATTCTGGGAGGAGGCATCTTAGTCTGTGACTGTGATAGGATACAGTTCACATGAGAGCTTCCCACAACTTTTCATGGTGTGACTGAAGGTCACTGACTGTTGTCTTAACTTTGGTTTCCAATCCCAGGTTTTTTTCACAACACTCACACTTGGTGAAAACTGCAAGGAAAGCAAAGAACCTCAGAGTTCCCTGTGGGACTGGTTTACTATGAGTGGACACACTCCTTCCTAACTCCCCAAAATAGGCAGCTGGACACATTTACACCTTCATAACAGAACAATTCCTGAACAACAGAAGAAGAGGCAGCAACAGAAATGAGGCACTTGGAAATCCAAGAGAAAAATCCCAGCTGGTAGGACAAGGAGGGAACACACTGGTGTTTCCATGCATCTTTCCCTAGGCCTGCCCCTTCCTCAGCTCTGTGCCACATCCCCCGTGGTCCCTCCTGACCCTCCCATCACTCTGCTCAACGTGATGCTCACAGGATTGTCAGTCAACACTTGTCTGAACATACAGAAAGCTCTAAAAACTGGAACCCTGGATTCTGTGGATGCTGCACCTGGGAGGCCATGGATGAGCACAAGCAGAACACACACTAACACTCATTTGGGAAGTCTTGGGACACAAAAGGAACATTTATTATGACAATGACCTCCTGAGAGACAGGAGCAGAAACATTGTAACCCACAGGGTTTTGGTTAAAACACAGAACAAAACACACCTCAGCAGAGCCTGAGTCCCTGAACACCCTCATTTGATGACCACCACATCTGGTCACAACTGCACTGTCACAGAAAATCAGGAACGGCACGATTTGCAGCACTGCAGTACCAGCAAATGTGACCTTCACAGCCAGATCAGACTGTGCTCACAGAGTTATCAGACAAGGAATTACACAGAGCAGAAGGAATTCCTGTTTGGAGGTCAGCAGACAAGCTCCCTGCTGCACATGGCAGTGATCTTCACAGCCGTGTTCACAACAGTAACTCCCAGCATTCCCACACTCAGGATTTCAAAAAGAATATTTAGTCCATCCATTATCCCGAAGCAGAACAAGTTAACACCTTTAAAGTTACTGCAAAAGGTCACATTACAGAGGTTTTACGTAGGATCAGATGAACCAGACAGTTTTTTTCCCTAGAATCTGCTGAGAGCTAGCAGTCCTACATATTGTTCAAAGACTTTCAGAAAGAAGAACCAAGAGTAGCCCAAACTTGCTTCTAAAGACTGCAGCCTCAGCTCTGATTTTGGAGGGCTGCTGTTCCCTTTATTCTTCACAAGTTAGATACAGAAAACTGGGACCATGCTTGAACCACAATTTATGGAACCAATAATATCACTTAAAAAAAACCAACCACAAAACAACAGCACGTGTGGCCTTACATAAGCCTGGAAACAACAATTGTGTTTCATCAACTTCAGAGTTCAGTGTAAAGTAACACTGGGTGAGCTCCTGCTTGGTGGACACAGATTTTTATATTTATATCCACTACCTGGAAGGAAAATACACATGAATCCCTTTTCTCACTTTTCTCTCTGAGGAGGACAATTATGACCATAGTTTTATACCCCAGTAAAACCTGGCATGGCAAGGCAGTAAAGCACAAATGTTCTCTGACAACCTAATACACACCCTTAGGAAACACAAGGCAGGAGAGACAATGCTTTAAAAAAATTAATGAGTATAGAGAAATACAAGATATTATTAATAATTGGGCTGTAATAAAATAAAGTATTTTTGTAAGGTAAGATCTGGGATCTCAATAAACATAATACTTCATATGATAATGGCCTGTTTGATGCAATAAATCAAAAAGCAACTGAAGTGCAGAATTAAAGAATGATTCAGCTTGATAAAGAAAAAAAAAATCATACTGTGATGCAAATTTTCTTGTGGATACCAAAAATATGGGTATTTTGGAATGGCTCCATGACTGTCTCCGTATGATATATGTAAATATATACAGACACACATTAGGGTAGAGTGGGAGTACTACCTAGTGAACGTAAGGACTGTCGGGCAGGCTAGTTGGCTCTAGCAGTTGCCTATTGTCCTCCCCTCTGTGCCCTTCAGCAAAGTCACCTGCTGAGCTGACTGAACCCTTATCTTCTTCCATCTAGAAGGACAGAAAAGCAACAAATCTTATAAAGCACCACGCTTGCATTGCTTTGAAACAGTTACCACAGTCACATGAACTCCCATTTCACAGATCTGCTCGTGAGAGAACAAGGCACGTTCACAAGGGAAAGAGGCAATCTCTTCACGTTAATCCGTGGATCAAACGCGGTTTCAGAAGCGTTTGGTCCCTTTGTGCACCACAGAGTACAAAAGGGGGAAACCCAACAAATTTGAAATCTATTTCAGATTTGCAGATTTTTGCACTTTTATTTGTTTTCCTCCTTCTAACAGAAAGGGCCATTTCAGCTTGTTTGCCTTCTTACAGGTTATTCTACGTGCCACAGGGACATTTCAACTCAACATTTAATCACACTGAGATGTGCAGTTGGGGCTTTGTGGAACAGGAAATGTATTTAATCCTGGACACTGAGTTAGGAGCACTGCAGCGTATCTTCCTGAGCCCAGGTCTTGCTGCCAACATGTCTGATGCCACATGGACATTTCAGAAAATATATGAACTGATTATTATTACTATTCTGCAGTTAAGTTACAACTTGCTCCCTACTGTAAAGCTGTCTTTAACCCTTAATACACTGGATAACAAAATCCCAAACAATTAGCTTTGGAATTTTAAAATATTAGAATATTGACATCTAACAACTTCCCTGGCACTTATGTTTTCAACACTTCTCTCATTTTTCTACTCTTTGTCTCTTTGAATCAAATAAACCTACAAACACCAAATTATTTCACTATTTCAAAGTCATCAGACAAAAGTATCTTCAGATAAGTAACGTGCACTTTTGTGACTGAAGACTAATACAAATGGTGCATTTTTTGCTCGTTTATTCCTTCCTCCTGTGATAGATTCTATGGGTTAGCTAATGCATCAGCACAAAGGTATGCTAACAAAATGTACAAACCCACAGAGGAAGAGACTACCCCTGATCAAAGTTTAGAACATTAAGGTGTCCTGGTACACCTCACTAGTGCAAATGTGTGCTTGCACTTGGATAGTCCTCTTGGGAATTTCACGTTCCTTACAGAAAACACGCTGTAAAAGGAACAGAGACCTGGCTGTTCTCGACTTGGCACAGCTGGGCTGGGTCAGATCTGAAAGTTGTCAGGAGGGGAATCCTATGAAACAGGAACTAGAGTTAAAAATACAAACAAGTAATGAAGGCCAGGAGCCTGGAGTTCTGGAGACAGAGCAGATCTGGACAGAGATGAAGGGAAAACCAGGCACCAACAGACTCATGGGCCTGTAGATGGGGAACGAGCTGGGCCTGGGCTGTGATGGGGCAAATGCTACAGAGTCCAGGATATGCCATTATGCACTGACAGCCTTCTCTGTGAACACACCCCTTTCTTGTGTTTTCCATTTCCCTGTAGTTCATAACACGCTGTCCAGAGGTAAAAACTCTCTAAACACAGTTAATCCCATCAGCAAGCAGAAGTAAAACATCTGTCCAAGCAACACTTCTTGTATGTGGCTCAAGATTTCTGACAGTTCTTATAAAGCAGAGAGACATGTAGACACACATGCAGACACAAAACTTTATTTACAAATAAAAAAAATGGAATGAAGATACAATGGGACCCAGTCAGTCCCCTAAGATACATATTTCACACATTCCAAGAACAGGAGAGACAGCTTTGGAGGAAAGCAGTGCTCAGCCAGACTCTAGCTGAGGAAAACACCTGCACCTGAGCTCTGCTGCCTCATTTCCTTTTCATCCCAAGTTACAAAAGTGACAATAAAGTTCAGAGGCAAAAGTTTAACACACAAGACTGCAATTCTGACTCACAGGAATCACA